TTACCTTCTCTTTGCTTCCAGCACTGCCAACCACATAACAACCCATCAACTTTGCAAATTGTCCAACAAGCTGACCAACAGCACCACATGCAGCTGAAATGAAGACATATTCTCCTTTCTTAGGAGAACAAAGTTCAAAGAACCCAGCATAAGCTGTCAAACCAGGCATTCCTGTAGGGAAAAGGAAGAATAGATCAGATGGGCATATTTCCCCACACAAATTTCATTTAGCAACCCCAAATTTGTAATTCAGTATAGGTATAAGTACTCTACTGGCATGCAGTATTCTCAGGAATCAGTGCTTTTTTTTTGTGTCCAATAATCATGGATCTAAAACAACTGCAGAAGTCGTAAATTATATTAAGTATTTTGAGAAGGTACTATCTCCATCCATTATTAACATAAGAAGACCAAATACTTGTAGCATATAATAATTTCTCAACTACATAAAGTAGGAAGGAAGTGTCTCGTTTAAGTGGTATATTTAGACAGTATCAGGAATAATGACAAAAATAAATCGAGAAGTCACCAAGCACAAAGATGTCCTCACAAGGGATAAAATTTGGAGGAGTTTGTAAACTGAGTGCAATAGTAGTTTAATAACTTACTTATTTTTACTTAACAATCAACATTTATTGAAACATCAATTATTTTTTGATTATATGGTCGATATTTTCACTCATTTTTTATGAGAGTGTAGATTCAAATTCATCTGTACTTATCGTGTATCTTCATTAGAAGGTAATATTATTATTAGTTATTTATTATCGTGTTCATATACCAACTAATTAATAAAACATATAATTTTTTACTAAAAAAAGCTAAACTCATTAAAGTGGCAAGTTAAGAAGGCTTAGGGTTTAACATGAAAATATCATCGGACATGAATCTCCAGAACCAAGTACTTACCAAGAATTCCAGTGTAGTAGGTCAAGGGAATATCTGTATGGTGGATTTTGAAGAGACTTTCAGGACTTTGTAATGAGACTGTATTCCTCCCATCCAGTTATACCCCAAGCCAAGTCACCCTTTTTGAAGTCTGGGTGTCCCGAGTCCAATACTTTGGCCACTCCAAATCCTAACAATGGCTGCATAAATCACAATTCAACACCAGCAAAATGGTTCACTAGTGTACGACAACTTCATTACAATATGATCTTCAAAATCTGGATCACAGTTAAATTTATTCAGCAACACGGGGCATACAAAGAACAGCAAGTAAGAGGACAAAAGTATAGTTTCACTTCAATTGATTGGGTTTTCATCTTATTGGAATTCAAATAATTGTGAGTTATTTAGCAATAGTTTAGCTTGTTATCATTTTAGGTGAAAAGTATTTGC